AAAAGTACAAAATGTAACCCTTCTACTTGTTGATATTTATTTTTCAGCTATGCTGAACGAAGACACAATTATTCAAATTTACTTGTATGGTTTAGTCAATGCATAATTATTTTGCTCTTACATTGGCATAAACAATAAGAATAGAGGCTTCCAATTATGGGACTTCTAACAAAGTTAATTTTTTCTTCTTAAGGCATATATGTGATTTAGATTCTATTGCTTAGTTTCTTAATTTTTTTGAATCTTAGGAAGTCAATTTCAATTACTTCTAAATGTGTCGGCTGATAATATAAATCTATTTACATCTGTATATATTATTTAATATTTTAATTAAGTTATTTTGGTTGTAATAAATACTCAAAACCTTTTAACATTATAAATAAAGTCTATATAACAAGCATATTGTTTCAACAAAAATAGATAGTTAACTTAAATGGTTCTTTTTAACTTTATTCAAGAATTTATTATTGTAAAAAAGAATTTATCTTTTCAATATTTTTATTTTATTTTTTACAAATTATAAAAGAATATAATTTTTAATTTTGCAGCTAAAATATGTTCTTTTATCTAGAAACTTTATTTTTTGATCAATGAAGGATATTAGAATCTATTGAATTTTTGTCATATATAAACAATATTAACTTGATATGCTTATTAAATGATCTAATATACTTCTAAATTAAATTTCCATTAAATTATTAATTTAATCCTCATTCAATTCATTTGCTAATAAGACCTTTTATTGCTCTTAATGAAATAAAAATTAGTTTTTAAGTATAACTTTCACTTTATTTATCTAAACAAAATCGTACAAATATCAAAGAATTTAAAACATCATAATAAAATAAAGAGAGGATATTTCATCATTTAGCAACTAACAAAATAATTTTCAAAGAAAAAATATTGTTGTTAGATTCATGCATTAAATCATTCAACTATCCTAAGAAGTATCCTATCTTATGCCTTAGAAATGTGACTACATAAACAAAAATAGAACAAATTGGAGATATTCTATTTCCATTCAATTAATGATTTAATCTATATTTAAGTGTATTAAAGATATTAATATCAACAAAAATTCTTTTGATTATTTTTATTATGTCAAGTTAATTATATAAATTATTAAACTTAAGTATTGAAAAACAATAAAATAACATAGTTTTGGCATTCATCTATTCTATGAATTAAATTAGTTATTCCAAAGATTAGTTTTAAAATTTTAAATAATTTTTTTAAAATAAAATAAATTTATAAAATAATTTTTAATTATTATAAAAAATAAAGAAAAATATATTAATAAAAAAATATTTTCAATTAGATACAAATTAGTAGTTATATGTATGTATGTGAGTATATATGTTTGTGTGTGTGTTAAATTTTATATATGTAATTCTAAAATAAAAACTATATAATATGTTATTGTATTCAATCCATAACATATATATATATATATATATATATATATATATATATAAAATTATAAAATAAAAATCCATTATGTATATTAATAAAAAAAATTAAAAAAAAATATAGTCATTATCTTTTAGTATATTATTATAAAATTCCTCGGATTCTTTTTATAATTTTTTAATAAAATATATATCTTTTATATCTTTGCACATGCATTTAATATGGACATGAATGAAAGATTAATCTTTTATTACACATTACTTTCATAATTGCAACAAAAGAAAATTTTCTCAGTTCTAAACTTAAATCTAAACCCTGAAATGTAAAAAAACTAAGAAATATATAAATATACATATATATATATATATAGAAGAAAATGAGAAAGCTACCCAAATTTTTACTAAAATGTTCTACTCTAAAGCATCATTGCACCCTTAGAGCCTCCATCCTTGTTCTTAGCTGTTCTTTGTTCTCAATTGTTACTAAGAATAGGGGTGGAGGGCTAGAAACTTTAAGAATGAAGGCGATAGTTGAGAATATAGGAACAGGCTAGAAACGGAGAAACAGCTAGGAACAAGGAATGTATATGTATTTTAAAATACACACATACATATACATACATGTTATTTTAAAATTATTAGTATATTATAACTTTTAAAATATAATGTTTTATTCAATTTACGTATAAAAAATATTTAATTATAATACATTTAATCTTTCTTTTAAATTATGAATATTATGTTTGAAGAAGTATACTTATATTTTAAAAAATAAAAAGAATTTATTTATTTATTATTTATTTATTTAATATTAAAAATTATGATTATGATTAGGTTAACCTTTTATAAGTTTTATGTACAATAATAATTTTTTATATTGAATTATTATAATGCAATTGAATATAAAGTTGAAATTTGTAATGTAGTAAAACTTTTAGTATACGTAAGACTTAGAAGCATCTACTAGATAGGTTGTTTACAATCAAAAGGCAAGAGGAATCAGTAGTGGCTAGAACAAGTGACTCTTAAGTTTTTGGAAAAGTCACCCTATAGATATTCTTATCAAGAAGGAATCTAAAAAGAAGGAACCTTGAAATTCAACTACAAGGAATATCATCATATACTTCTTATCTAAAAATAATTAGTATAAAAAGTAAAATCTCATCTTAGCTCACAATATACTTATTATTGTATTTATCTTGTATTGTGCTTTTATACATATAAATAAAATATACAATTATTTATATTATTTTATACAATTGTATCTAAGATTCATAAATTGTATAATACATAATTGTACAATTTGATTCATAAAGTATAGATCTTAATACAATATTTACTTAATGGATTAAAATTACTTATTTATACTTCCTTAACTTCATATAAATAATATTACTATTTTTTAAAATTTTGTATGTACATATGATATTATATTAGTCTTTTTGTTATGTTTGAATTTAATTTATTTCAAACAAATAGGACTGCATAAACAAAATAAGAGATTAAAATATATATATATATATGGGATGTATTATAATAAGATAGAATTACATTGATGTAAAACACATGTTGATATATATATATGTATCAACATGAAATTTTATACATATATATATATATATATATATATATATATATATATCAACATGAAAATAAAATCTAAACTAGTATAGATATTCATGAAATTAAATTATATTTTTAAATATGTTGAGGACAAAGAATCTAAAATCTTTAAAATCTTTAGAACTAAATATAAAAATGAACACAAAGTTAAAAGAACTTTATTAAATATGTGACTTATATTTTTAATAGAAAACATTTGTAATATATTAGTTGTAAAATATATTGTATTATATATGAAGCTAATTTAAATTAAAAGAATTCACACTATATTTTAAATTTTACATAAGTTTGTAAAAATTTAAAAATAATAATAACAACAATTATAATTATAATTATAATAAACTACATATTTTTTGAATGTGTAACTTAAGATACATGCCTAATTTTATTTAGTTATACTACAAATGCAACTTGGAACATAGCAAGATGGTGTAATCCAACCACAATTTTGTTTAGGGTATTATAATATATTCATGAAGTCAAGTAGTAATATATTTTTTCAGCTACTAAACAAAATGGCTATATCATCATCATCTACTTCTTTTTTTACTATGTTGTATATCTAAACTTTCACTAACTAAAACATAATTTTATTTATTTATATAGTTTTGCATTTGCATCAATCATGTTTTTAGTAATAGTTCCTATATTGACTTGTACATGCACTTTCTAATATTATATATTAAACTAAAAAAATCCACTTTACACAAGTAAATAAGCATGTATACTAATAATGTGAAATCAAATAAATAATCTAGTTAATAATTTAAGCAATTGAATTATTAAAAACTTGTATAATTTTTATTACATAAAAACAAGGATTTTTTATCATTTTCATATGATTTTTTAAATTTTGTTTGCTTTATTATGTATAATTTCTAATTTTTAATTTTTATATTATACCCAAATATTATTGTAGTATTTAAGATTTAATCTTTACATCCATATCATAATTAATCTAATTTTAATTATATGCATCCAGTCACCTTTATCTGCAATTTATTATACTTATTGTGTTATAAAATTAATACACTTAATCATTAATACACTTTTTGGTAAGTAAACTTTATAATACATATCATTTGATTCGTTTCGAGACTGTATCTATTTTCTTTTGCAGTAAAAATTGAACTAAAAGCAATATGTTAATAATTAAACTCAAAATTGATATATTTTGATCAGTGCATTTTTGTTCCTAAACTAATCCAAACAATATCTTTCAACTTCAGGTGCAAATAACTTACTTTTAATTAGTTATTCATAAAATATGATTCTATAAAAAACTAAAATAGCAAGTTCTGTATTTTCTCTATATCGAGAAGTCCTTAATAATTACAATGTTTCTAACTTATTCCATTAAATGACCTACATTACCAAATGTGATTATGGATGTACCAATGGTGGGAATTGTTCAACGGCTAGACAAACAAAATCTTGGAAAATTAAAACAATGGTTCAAAAATCGTGCCACAGTGGACTGACAATCCACGCCCTCGTATTCCGATCAATTTTCAACCTGAGTTTTTATTTCTAATCATCTCTTACATTGAATAAATAAAACCTAAAATTCTTTGAATATAAGTGAGTTACGAATTACTGTAAGTTTGAACAGAATCTATCCGACCAGACTTCGAAAACTAACCAGAAAAACACACCAATGGAAGCAGCGGTCTGTAATGCGTAACTGGTGTGGGAAAACAAAGCTATGATTTACACTCCTAAACTATGGTTTATACATATTACCAAAACGCAAAAAGCTGAAAATACTCCACATCGTACAAAGCACAACGAATTCACTGCTGCGGATTTCAAGCTCAGCATCCAATCATTTCAAATCAAAAGGGTGCGTGACTCAGAACTTACGAAGGTAATGTTATCACTACGATGGAAAAAAAAACCTTGCAATGACTAACAAACAAATGCTTCCAAAAGTTTAATTCATACAAGAAAAATGGCAAGAACTACAAATTCACCAGAAGACATAAGACGCGAAAGGTCGTCTAACCAAAAACCTTATCAACAGTTTCTAAGCTATTAAGAAAGCAAGGGCTTTCGGGAAGTCTACTTTACAAAAGCAGATGATTAGTTATAAGCCTGGGAATTTAATCCGCCCCTTTTAGCAACGCTAACGTTATCCCTGACTCCTCATATTAAATCAGCTACATTCATAGGCATTTCATCGATTTGGGTACTGTAGTACTGCTCTATGTCTCGCAAAATTCGGATGTCATCGCTCCTTACAAAGTTAATAGCTACACCCTGCACATCGATTGGTGGGATAAGTTGTCCGGATATTGAGAGATTAAAATAAAAGGAATCTTAAATTACACTTTAAAGAACCTGCTTCAAATAAAAGAAAGGCAAAGACATACCTTCCGCCCAAATCGCCCTGAGCGACCAATACGATGAATGTACAATTCACGGTTATTGGGAAGATCATAGTTGATTACCAAAGAGACCTGCCAGAACAATCAAAGTCACATCGATGCTCTCTATTGAGAACCTTCATAAAAACAAGAGTGGGACCTGGAAAACCATCGTACTGAACAGTAGAGAGCATTTCGCAAATACAGGGCTTAATCAAAAGCCATGGATATGTCCACACTACACAAATACCATTGTAAACACAGTCATGAAATCCTTCAAGCACAGGGACTGACATGTTCTGAAAAGAATCAAGACATCTAAAAAGTTGCTGCAATAACGGCATAATGGTACAGAACTTCACTGTTCCATTACCACATCTACTTCGCAAAATATGAACACAAACAAGGCGAGAAAACAAAAGGAAAAACCTACTTGTTGCACATCAAGACCACGAGCCCAGACGTCTGTTGTAATGAGAACCCGTGTAGTGCCAGACCGAAACTCGGCCATGATTGCATCACGTTCCTTTTGGGGCATGTCGCCGTGCATTGCAGACACGGTAAAATTGTTACTTCTCATCTTTTCTGTCAGCCAGTCCACCTGCAAAAACAAATAATTTCAGCTATTTCCAAGACTGACTCTATATACTGATTTTTCTTTGACATAAGATCACCAAATCCTAACTTGTACACACTTAGGCTTACAGAAATTATCCAACTGTTGTAAAACATCACTGATAGCAATAACGAAACAACTTAGCTCCTGACAGTCATAAGCAACCAACCATCAGCAATTAGATTCAACTCGTCAGTCAGACCAGGACGCATGGGTGATATACTTACCTTCCGCTTTGTGTTGCAAAAAATAACAGCCTGGGTAATTGTAAGTGTGTCATAGAGATCACACAATGTATCGAACTTCCATTCTTCTCTTTCGACGGCCACAAAAAATTGTTTTATTCCCTTTCAAAGAAGGAACCCAATAAAAATGTCATATTTCGACATACACCGAAAGCAAGATAAAACAAGATAAAAAAGTGATTGGAAAATAGAAATAACAGTACAACTGCCGCTGGTCATTTATCCTGGGAGTGGTGGCATCAGACATTGCACCCTATGCAATGAGGAATCAGATGCATGGTCTCACCTCCAGAGTCAACTCATCACGTTTCACCAAGATTCGTACAGGGTCAGTCATGAACTTGTTCGTCATTTCCAAAATTTCATGAGGCAAAGTTGCAGACACTAATACAACCTGTATCAATCCACACACCGAATCACACATGTTATCCAGGTAGATCATTTCAATGTACACTTGGCGCACCTACAGGTGGCAGTATGAATGTATATGGCAATTCGCACTACAGCTGCGTTTCTCCACTAAATACTTAGTTCATGATAACAGCGTAGAAAAACTCGAAAAAATCTCGCCACAACAATTACCTGCAACTCAGGGGGCAGATAACGATAAACATCGTAAATCTGGTCCTTGAATCCTCTGCTGAGCATTTCATCCGATTCATCCTGAATCACCAAAATCCGTTAAAAACTGAAATAACCAGAAGGATATATAGAACTAACTAACACTTCGTAAACTCATTCAATTATGTAGAACTTATCTAGAAAAAGCTCCTGGAGACATAAAGAACTACATCCAGTGCAAGAGTACCTAAATACTCTTTTCTTCCACTACTTGACCGGGTTCTCTCACGTTAAAGGTATGCGAATCAGACCCTACGAGCTGGGTTCTTAACACAGTGACGAAGGGGCATATTCATACCAAGATCAGGAGCTTGATAGACCGCGTCCGCAACGTCCTTCTCTTTATCATATCATAAACTCTCCCAGGAGTTCCAGATACAACATGTACACCATATTCAAGCTTCCGGATATCTTCCCCAATGCTCTTCCCCCCAATGCAAGCATGAGCTTGAACATTCATGAAGTCGCCGATTGCGAGAATCACCTTCTCCGTCTGAGCAGCAAGCTCTCTGGTGGGTGACAATATAAGAGCTTGCACCCTGTTGATATCAAAAGTAAGTTAGAGAAATGGAGTTTCAAGTGTTTCGATATCAAGTCTCAATAAGCAACCAGTTTCACCTATCATGCAGGTGACTGAAAATCATAGAACTAAAAGGACTTTATCTAGTCCAATGAATCCAAAAAATAGACCCTTAAAATTAAGGCGTCCTAAAATCTAAATTTTCACACAACCCTACGTAAGCCCTGGTAAATTTGTGCATGCCATGAAGTGCGATTGTCATTAAGACAGTTTCATCAAACAGAGATTATTTTTCTAACGAGAACGTTACCAATACACGAAGTGTAGGCACTCAGGAGGAGAAGACACTCACTCACGGGTTGCAATGTCAATCATTTGACAAACGGTTAGGGCAATCATAGAGGTTTTCCCTGTTCCAGACTGCGCTTGGGCTATAGCATCCCGGCCACTTATAATAGGCATCACTGCTCGCTGTTGAATAGCGGACGGCTTCTCAAACCCGTAAGCATAAATGCCTCGCAACAGGTCCTCCCGAATACCCATCTGATCGAAGCTGGAAATGACTTCCACGCCCGCGCTCGTCTCAAATACGAGATTCTCACCTTCCTCGAGCTCCTCTCGCCCCATCCGATTCCTCGTACCCCCCGTCGCGGCAGCCATGGCTGATCAGAAACTTCAAACCCTAATGCGCCTTCATTCACCGACAAAGAAAACTATATTAATCAACCAATTAACAAATACGCAAAATGCCACCACCCACCAACACGCTTGCATATATATATATATATATATATATATATATATATATATATGACCCCAGACAGAAGCAATTACCGCACCCGCTCCTATCCTGGGTGGAGTTTGAACCCAAGGACAAAACGAAAAAAAATTAAAAACCCTAAAACCCTAAACCGCGCCAAACATCGGCACGCCACAATACGAACTCAACACCGATAACCGGAGCATAGAATCCTTCTCAAAACGATAGAGGGCAGAGTAGATGCGTACGTGAAGGAGAAGGGTGGAGCGAAACGAGACGCAGATGCAACCCTAGTCGTGGTTGCACTTCGGGTCCAGTAGCGCGAGGGTGCCGTGAGATCCTCTGGTCCCGCGGTGTGGCGACGGCGAGTTCCCGCCCCGGTTTGCCACAATGGAGGAGTCGAAGGAGGAGGGAATGAATGCCCGGCCCGCCTCACCACAACAGCAGTGGTATCAATACGCCGCACCGTGTTCTCCCACTGCCATCGCTCACTCGTTGCTCATCGCCTCATCGCGTTACCGAATTCCAACCCTAGTTCGTCGATGCTCGACCCCCGTCTTCACGAAGACTACGACTCTGCTACCCCATTTTTAGGTCAGGATGGATGTGGATGAATCGAAGTGGAAGAATGTTTATTGGTGGAATGTTTATGAATAGTGTGGATGGATGTTGTGGATGAACCTTGCACTTCGCGTGCCCATCCATTCCTCGAAACCTGAACGACCTAAATATCATTTTCTATAATTTTATAAGTAGTGGTATTATTCAGAACTATTACCAATTATTAAATTTTATCAAGTTGTGTATATATATAAAGATGAGAAAGAATTTTAGTTTTTACCTGATAATTCAATAGTTGCGCTTCTATAATTATCTGCATCAACCTCCTTTAATAATGCATTAGCCCTACCATGTGTTATTTTTTTAAAGCTTTGAACCGTGTAGATATTTCAAACATAAGTACATGAATGTAGTTTTAAGTAGTGATGTTTGTTCATTTATTGTGTTTTTTTTTTTTTTTTTTTTTTTAACATATACATTGTAACAAATCATAAATATATGAACTGTAACATAAATTATACGAAATTCATGATTTATTCTTTAACACAAAAACTTTAATAATGAAACACAGAGGCGCACATCAAAACTTAAGTTAAAACATGTAATTACACTGTAATTTATTTATATAAGATGTTCTTAGACCACATTTTGTTACAAAAGAACAAGCAGAATGTTAATTATTTTTAAATAATAATAAAAAATCTATTTATATCAATATGTATTGCACATGTACCAAATATTAAAGATATTTAATAAAGTGCTTAGTAAATTTTCAATACCTCCTAAGAGCATAATACATATATGAAGTTTGAGGATGAATAAATAACATAGTTGCTAAAAGTGCTTCTTATAAAAAATCAAAAAAATATATTATTTCATTTTTGTAAAAAAAATCATCTTCTACCAAAAATATAAAGTAATAACCAAAATCCAAAAAAATATTTCACATAAAATTGAATGTTTAAAATATTATATTTTTTAAAACAACATGTATATATATATATATATATATTATTCTTATATATTTAATATATGTTACATGGTTTATACAATGGTTTATAATAAATCCAATTAAGGATTTGTGTAGAGCAATTCACATAGTAAATTAAAGAGGAAGACATAACCATGTGTCACATTCTAGTACATTATGTGGAATTGGTCTTTGAAATCCTTATAATTGTTTTGATTTATAACCTTGTTATTTTATTTTGTCTTTATTCCTATCAAATTATTAAGGACTCATGTTTTCTAAATCAAATCTTTATAAAGTGCTTGTGCATTTGTAGTGAGATTTAGACATCTCTTTGCATTGTATTGTGAAGTTATTATGATAATACATAGTTTAAATTACTGTTAAAATATATTTTGTTTGTTTGCAACTATAGTTTTATCTCAAAAGATAAATCAGGTTCAAAAGATAAATTAGGTTCTCCAATTTTTTAAAGGTTATAAAAGTTCTAACAAAATTTGGATTCAATCAGATTTTTAATTCATACTTAGGTTTTTTTTACAAGGATTTTATATTACAATAAGAATAAAAGAAATAAGAAAAAAAACTCCTAGTGAGGTTCCCAAACAAACATATTTGTCAAAACACTAACATTTGTTTTTAATATGCTAAATCAAAAATTTAAAGTTCAAAGTAAGGGGATTGAGATTGGAAAATTATACAAAATAACATGTAGAGTTTTGTTTAGATGTTAGAGAAAGTGAACAAAAAATACATAAAATAATTCAAGCATTTAATAATTAAGAGTAAATTCAATTTCTTTTCTAGTTACTTACAATTCAGCATTTAAATGATTTTAGAAATAATAATTTATCTTTTTATATTGTGAAAAGAAAAATAATAACTTAGACAAATACATAAGTGCAATAACACTACATTAATGAACTAGACAATATGTTTTATGTGCTATACCATAATGTAGAATTTTAGATTCATTTCTCCAGATCAAAAACCAATGAAAACCAACCACATTAATTGTGATTGCCATATTCTTCATCATGGGTGGGTAGGTTGATTTAGTAAAAACATGGGCCTTCTCAACATTCCCGTGTGTATATATATATATATATAGCTGAGATATCCACTTCATTAGAGCAAAATTTAGCAAGGCCGGCAAACTGGAACTATAAGATTTGAAGAGGAAATGGATGATAGTCGGATGGGTTTGATTTTACCACAATATGCACTGTTGGAGAATCCATTATCTTATTGTCCAATTTTATATTTATCTGATGCACAAGGAACTAGAAAAGTTTCTATAACTGATTTTGCATCGGATAACAGCTCCGGCCACATGCCTTGTCTGGTATGGCTACAAATCACGTTTCTAGATTCAGATCACTAAGTACAAAGCACTCAAGTCTGTAATCGCCGATGTAAGGCTACGCCGAAGGTTTGCTTTCTCAGCTTTGCATAGTTTCATCTAATGCTGCGATGACTTCACGACTGTAAAGCTGGTTATGGAACACACTCCTAGGATCATACCATGGCTCCAAGTCCGTGGCCACCGCCTACAACTTTCTCCTTGCAGCGATGACACTTGGGTGCTGACTTCGTGAACTGAATGGAGACAAACAAGCGAAGATATGTCCGTGGTAACCCCGTCAAATACAGTGGTACTGCATGACCGCTCTTGATCCGTTGATGAGAGATGACTTAATTAGAGGGACAACGTTTGGAGAGGATACCAACTTTTAGGGACCGGAGCATTCCAAGAGCTGATGATGTCGAACTGCCTTTATTACTGCAGAAGACGGATTTTGATTACTACTGTGTGAAGCTGTTTCTCAAGCAGCATAATGTAGAATTTTAGTTTCCTGGTTTTCCAAGCTTCAAGGATTCTCTTTGCAATACTCCTTGTGAAACAAATTCATTGAATATTGAACATTGCTCTATCCTCTGACACACGCTGTGAAATGCGAGTTAACCTTCTTTTTCATGGTCTAAGTTGCCGCCTATGTTGCTGTTGATGCTTCAGTGGTGTTCTTCACTCCTTCCAATATTTGTTTTCATTTCTTCCAGTTCTATGGTGTCCTCTCATTGCGAAAGCCTTGATTTGTCTGGATCATGTGCTCTACACTTCTAGTGCGAAGTTTGGTCTCACAGCGTGAAGGGATTGAAAGCATTGCAGCAAGAGAACGTAAATTTCAACTTCTTAATTTCACCTTTCTGAGCTGAACAGATAGCACAAGAAGGCTCAAGAAGTCGACGGTGGCAATGCAAGTTCCAAGCTTGTCAACCATCGCTTTCCGATTGACTGCGCCTGGAGTGAATGATGTAGGAAATCTTGGATCAAATCTGAATATTTTTTTCAAAATTATTGCTACCACCAGCAGATTTGATATATGTCTTTTTGCAGCATTGAATCGGATTCCAGATCAGTATATGTGCCAAAAATAGTATACCATAACCTGAGTACTGTTGAAGGTAAGTTTGACTGTGCTTGGCTTATTCAGATTGCGAAAGAAAAGCAACTTCCATTTCCGAACTGGTGAAAAGATAACTCGCATCTGTGATGCCTAGTACCTTTCTTCTCCGATTGTAGTGATACTGGAAAACTATGCCACTGCACTTTTTCTGTTGCATTGCATGTGGACAATGCAGTGACCCTTTGGGTGAAATTAAAGCATATTCCCGACGGCAGGTAATTGGGTTCCAAAAGAGGTATAACAGGTCACCTCGCCTGTCAGACGTGAGATGCACACTTCAGAAGAACTTGTGTTACACGAAAAGCAGTCCAAAGAGATATGCTACTCCCTCTATAATTGGTATTCTCATCAATGGACATTTACAATTGTTTGAGGTAAGCGGGTGAACGTGGAGCTGCCGCTGAAATCCTGCCACCCTGGTTTTGCCGATGCAATAAATTCACAAAGTTAGCGATGCCTCAGGACTTGAAGCTTGAAACGGGAAAATGTTTCCTGTTCCGGCCTGTGTTGAGAGGATAATGTCCTGTTCCTAGTGGGGGTTTATTGTCCACACTTCAAAAGTCTCAGAGAGAAGTTGTTTGCAGCATGTGCGATTTGATGCAGATTGCATTCAAGAGCTTACCGTGCATTCGGAGTCCCATTCTGCCAACCGCGTCGGTCCAAATCGGTATTTTTACTTTTGAAGTGTCACCATCGAAAGCGCCTCGGGGTTCGGGGCAGAAATACCACAGGCGCTTATTCCTCGTCCAATCATGCAATCATAACATCGACTCCAACATCCCGACATCGGTCTGATCAATATGAAGTCGGATCAAAGTGTCTAAAAACATACAGCTACATAAAAACTTTATCTCCTCTTTACAGATAGGATTCGAAAACGATACCTCACGTAAAGTCACTTGATACGTGCTGGTATTACACCAAATGGAATCACTATAACCCATGTTCATCGCCAAGTGCGGGACATTCTGAAGCCATACCAGCTTAATTACAAATGATCATGTACCTAGCTGATCGTAGAGCTGTAATCAGCAGCCTGAATTACATTTTAGTAAAACATAAAAACGAGGGGAACACTTTCTCATCTAAGCACCCAATACAGACCTTCGAACTGTAACTCGACCAGACATGGGTAGGACGTGAGAATCTACAAGTAACGTCCTGAGTAGCTGGTGGCTTTCAAACAATATAAATGAAGATATCAATTCAAAGAAATTAAGAGCTGGTAAGAATTTCGACTATAATCTATGAATTGGTTTCGCTTCCGTCTATTTCACCTCAATCAAAAACTGCTTGTCATCCTCAAGGCCCGTCTGGGACCCTGCAGGGTGCTGCCAAACGTCCTCGTGACAATCTTCTCTTTAAGCTAATCGTATCGATCCAGCAGGTTAGGACGTGGCTACATTACAGATGTAGAGACGGATTGGGAGGACTCTTCAAGAAAGAGGGTTGTTGCTACTTTTGCTCTTTTTGTTCGTAACAAAATCTTCAGCTGTTGGTACCACAAAAACCTTGGGGTCGACACTGGTGCAGGTAAACAGATCCTGCTCAATTCCGGACCAGTTTGACGAACTGATAGAACAACCCTGTAAAATCTCGCTCACATTGAAAGCATGATCTTCAGTGCTTGATGCCCTCAGAACTCTACGAAACCACGCCGTTTGACTAGAAGCCAACCATCTTCTTGCAGATTTCTGTACGCCATGGCCACGACCCTGTTCCTCCTCTCTGTTGGACATACCGTCTGCAGGGGTTTTAGAGGAGGGCGAGGCATTTGTGGAGGATCCCCGTGTATGTTCACGAGTGGACCACACTGGAACTGTCTGGTCAAGATACAATGGCACCCTTTGATCATTCTTGTTGCGCAGAAGCGACACCCTAGGTACCCTACTCCAACGATGAGCTTCGTGGTTTGAAACGACCCTGCCGCCGGAAGGTTCCGAATTTGGAACTTGCTGCATTTTTAGCCTCTGCCGCTATACATTCACTCCATTAAAACACAGATTCAAACCCTCATTCAATCTGCCATCCATCATACAGCAGCTGCACCAAGGGTATGCCGTGCTTCACAATGTACACCTAGACATCAACCACAGCAGGAAACATGCTTTACTGTCTATGTATTCACCAATTTATGCCCGGGTTAACGCAACTCGCAGTACCTACAGTTCTTGCAATGCCAGAGCCTAGAGGAATTCTCGCTAAAAGTCATGATTTCTCAACTTTGCTCTTGACAGACTAACTAGTGAATACTGTCACTTAGTGCGCGATCATCGAAGGGAGAAGCTCTCGGCTGAACACTGGTAACTCAAGAGTGCAGCTTGACTGTAGAAACAGGATCTCAGCCTCAAATCTAAGAACATAACTAGCGATTCTTCAATGTTCCGCGAGTACAAGCCTGCGACCAGAGCTCTGCGCAAATGCTCTCCACTCTCATACACAAACCAACTACTCTTCCATCTATTCATACTAAGCCGATAGAGTAATTACAGCTTCATAGTCATCTCACCACTCCTTGTCTTCCAGCCCACAGCACCGCATCCCAGCAATGCGAAACATCGAACCTCTCAGAAAAACCACACGCGAGACCACACAAGTCGCGAAACCAAAAGTCCGGCCCTGATAATGCATCCCTCCTCCAATCACTCCCACAATGCGGCCCACAAAGAGCTCCACCACTCAGTCCCCAGCTCACATTCTCCGAACTAAAACCCCAATTCCAACGATCTCGTTCCAGCGTCCACCTCAGATCCTAATAAGCCCAGTCCCGGCATCCGATTACATTTCACAGCGGAGACAACCATAGAGGTTAATCCCGTTCACCGCACAGGTCCCCCTTCACTCTCCACCGCACGCAGCCGGGAGACGGGACGATTCGTGGCTCCAATCCCACCAACAGGCTGCTTGCTGCAGAGGCAGAGCAGATTCGAGGTTCGCCCGACAGTCCCACTGACGGAGATGCAACCAACAAGGGGGCGGAGGCGAGAGGCGATTCAGGAGAGGCCGCATGGGGTAAAGTGCGTCGTCGAGGGTGAGGCCGCGTCGACGAGAAGGTCCACCTCGGCATCGGCGAAGCCCAGAATAGCACAAGGCGACGAGATCGATGGCGGGGACGGGACCAATGGCGAGCGAGCACATCGGAGCAAGGGAAGATCTCGCGGGGTGGGCAGACTTGTCCCGCTTACGATCCACTCCTTTTTGAATGGTGCACTTTCGCTTTCCGAGGAGAGGGCGCAGCAGCAGCTTACCCCGCCCCCGCCCTCGGGCCCCCCACTTGGGCCGCGTCATACGAGCTGGATACTATCCCGGGCTCTCTCCACCGACGTGGCAGTGTCCAGCTTGGCACCGTCCCCATGACCGCTGCTTCGACTGCGCAGTCCACCGTGCCTCTCAACCCAATCTTATTGGAAATATATAGTAATAATAATAATAATAGTGGAAATTGGTTCATAGGGAATTTTCGATTATGATTTTGGGACGTTTTAAGAGGGAAAAAAACGTGTCGAATGTGAATGGGGTTCGCCAGGGGTGAGTTGGGAGTGAGTTGTGAAAGGGGTCCATTTGAGAGCACTTTATTGAGAAACAGCTTTTTAAAGATTTGGCAATGAGCAAATGGTTGTGCTTGAATGACTGACTGATGTCCGTGTGTGACGTGATATTGGTGGGAGACGTGGAGATAGGACCCCCCCTTCTCTTCTTTTTTTGCTTCTTTTTTTTTTTTTTTTTTTTTTAAATCGTTGTGGATCGTGGTCACTGGGTTTGGAACCTGAGGAGGCTTTTAAAGGGGACATGATATCAAAAGGGCTCCCCTCTGTTAGAGCTTTGGCTCACAAGAGCATGCCCTTTACAGAACAGATGCAAGATACTGGGTGTTGATATCCGGAATTTTATTATTATTATTATTGTTGTTGTTGTTGTTGTTGTTGTTATGGTTTAAAAGGGTAGTATTAGGTTTCAGATAATTCATTAGGATAGCCACTGACAAAGTGGGTTAATGCTCTGTTTAATGGGGGAGAGAAACTACCACTTAGATTAAAGTGCAGTTGTGTTGATTTCTTATTTTCTATATATGTATATATATATATATATATATATATATGCATTACATAAAATAGCTCAAAGGGGGACAAATACATGGGATAAATACATGGGATAAATACATGGGATAAACAAGAAGAGACAAAACCCCTCTGTAATTGCTTGCATATCACATTATTTTCATCAATTTTTTTTTATTAAAAGGGAACCAAAAGTTGAGTTTATAATCCCTTAGCAGAACCATGGCCATGCCAATTCACAAGGCCTTAAGAGAGCCTTGAAATGTTTAAGAGCAGTGAAGGCATACTATACACAGTATCAAGATTGAATTTGTTTTCAATGACATCCAGCTCAATGATGCTTAGAATATTTTGGAGGTCATTTATAAAACTCAATTGCAACTAATCTATGTGGAGAGTTCACATTATTGCAACATAATCCATGAGGAGGAGAAGAAGAATATTGGGTTGGTTTTGTGCTGGGAGATGCGTAATGGAGTTGTGATTGCACTAATTAGTATGGTGCACATGTATTTTGTAGACCTGCCCTCTATTACTTTGATGCAGAAAGATGGTGTATGGAAATGGTGGTTGTTTCTCTTTGATGCTAGCAAAGCAAAGGAATGGTTGTAGGAAGTAGGTGGGGTGGCCTGTGGTATATGTGTGAGTGTTGTGTGTGTGGGTGAGTGAGTTGAAGATCAAATTGTAGAAATGTAGAAAATATAATATATAAAATATGTACAGGGCATACCTATGTCCAATTTGTATGTATGGAGCATAAATGAATGCTTAATTGTAAATGTACAATCTATTACAAATTTTGAATAAAGGAGTGAATTTGTGGCATCAACTTTGCAATAATTTGACCATGTAGTTTCACCTTACTACATCTATTACTGATCTATTACATGATTTTTTTGGCAATACTATAACATAATTACATAGCATGATAAAAGTGATCAAGATGTAATCAGATTACAAGTGGTCATATTTAGCATTTTTAGATCCAAAAATTGCTCCCTATTCTTAAGTAAGATTGGCTCTATATTTTAGTACTATCTTTAATCCAGAAGTATCATCATTTTACATTTTGTAGATATTTGTGAAGCTTTTTTTTTTTTTTTTTTTTTTTTCTCATTATTATTATTATTTTGACTGCAATTGGATACCTTAATTAGTTGTTTTTAGGATTTTCATGTGAAGGAAAAGAATCACAAATTGACAAGAAAGATAATGTTGAGATGGGTGGTTTGAAGAGATTTTGAAGAGATTTATAACTTGTATTGTTGAATTATAAAACAACATATTTTTTGTGACAATAACACGAGTTTAACTAATTAATATATATATATTGGTAATACACAAATGCAAGAATAAATACTCTAAAATCTCTACTAAGGTGTTATTTAGATAATTTCTTTATAATTCCTTTATAGGTTCTTTTAAAACATTATAATAAAGGTATCTTACATGTATCTAAGTTCTTTATGTTTTTGAATTTAGAAAAAAGAATAAAATATTTAAATACAAGCTACTGTATATTTATAAAATAATAACAGTAATACTAAAGATATTTATTGAATTTAAGAAGTTACCAATTAATTGCATGTTTTTATTTCTTATCTTCATAAAATGTAAAACATTTAAAGATTCAAAGTATTTGACAAGAACTAAATTATAAATGTTGAGTCTTATGATAATTAAAAATATGATCTTACTTATCAAGGTTGGAAAAAATATTTAACAAATTATAAAAAAAATTAATATATGAATGACAAAAATACATAATAAATCAAAAAAAAAAAAAAAAAAACAAAACAAAAACAAATCATAGAGACAAAAAAAACATAATTTATAGAATATAAATTAGGATTTTTGATGTATATCATATATAACTTATGTAATATGAATTTTTAATATAAAAAAGAGCCTAAAATATTAGAGATAGTTTAATTTATCTTAAATTATGATATTATGTTGTAATAAATTTTAACTATTATTAAAAAATAATAAAAAATATCTATATTTTTTGAATAAATAGAAATAAAAGAATCAAGTAGAAATATTTAGAAATATGTTAGGAATACCATATCTTCTTTAAGTAGCTTTAAAAAAGTTTCTTAGACATAAATTAGATCTATAGACTTTTACAGATTGATGCACAATTTTGTACACAAATGCCACTATATGTCTTTTATATACTCAAAAAAATTCAGCTCAATCCAACTTATAGATTGCGAGTAAACATCCAAAATAACTGCATTGATGTCACTTGACTACAAATTCAAAAGTTAATGAAAATGTTACAGTAATAATTTTTCTTTCTTCAACTATTAACTTTTATTTAAAATTGGTATATAGCTTGATCTTTAAGTCTTCTAAAACCATGCCAAATTTCATCTTTTTTTAACTAGTAGAACTTCAAATATCATAGAAATCCTATCCAATCCTAAATTACCAACTTTCAATATCCTCTTGTACCAAAAACTAGATATCTTTTAATTGCATTGTTAGATTAATACAAAAAATTAGGCACAATTAGCACACTAAATCAACAGAAGACTATCAAATTTTGAACCTTAGATATGATACCAATTGCATGTACTAGCCGAAAGTACTAGCCTTAATTGTATTACATGAATCCAAAGTCACTAATGTAAATTTCAACTTTGAACAAAATTTACAAAGTCATCCTAAATCCTATGAAAATGAGCCTTACAATTTTGAAAAAAACCTTAAAGCTAGCTCTTCAATTCAAGTCACTAATCTCCAAATGCTTCTACACTTTGCCCTAGGCAGCCATTTTGGTGGCTAGAGGTCTGATTTCGACCTTGTCCCACAAATAATTGACCCTTGAGTATCAATCAAATCTATCATAGGAATTTTTTAGCCCAACCTTATCATCAACTTAATCCTAATATCAACTATATTCATTATTTATCTCATTTATCCTATTTTTATTAATTTATAGCCTTTCTAAGGTAGTAAAAGAATTTTTATAGCCTAGAAGGTAAAATTACTAACCAACCTTTAATCTAGTATCTATTAAGATAAGAAAAAAATAAAACCAAAGATGCTTTTATAAAAGCCATGTTTAAATGTCTTGAATTATTATTGAACCAAGATGTTTAGATATTAATTAGAAATTTATTTTTGATTATATTTTTAGTATATAATTGTATTATAATACAACAATTTGTTTTGCAAGTTGGACATGTATTTGAAGTCTTATAAAAGGTTGTTATATAGCTCTTAATTAGATAGTATATATAAAAGTAAGAATAAGGCCTTCTTTACTATTGTCAATTCATTTTTTTTAGTCTAGTTTTAAGAATCTCTAATTTTTAAAACTTTGACAATAGTCATTTTAGTTTCTTCGTGAATATACATATTTTTTTATTCCTTTTTTATTATTTTTCTTCAGTATATGTCTCACTTATCTATTTACATTCTTTGAGTTCTAATCTTTAACAATAGAATATGATACTTCTTAAAAAGTCTATTTATTTTCTTTAAAATTGTAAACTATCTACTTTTTAATAAATATTTTTATTTTTAACATTAAATTTTTATTTAAAGAAAATAAATCACTTTTTTTTATAATTTTTAAATTTAAAATTAGAGATGTAGAATTACTTTCTTTTAATTTGACTTGTGGATTTTTTAGAATTTTTATTTTTAAGATAGAAGAAAAATAAACTTCAATGGCTATATTAAGTAGAAAATAAAAAAAATAGAATTTTAATACTTATTGAACAAAACTTTTATGTGATAGAAATCTCAATTATAGAATCACTATTTATTTTCTTACAAAAGAAGTCAACAATAAAGTCTAATGTTTAGATTATAAAGTTATATAGTTGATAAAGCTAAATATAAGTAGAACTCTTTTATAAATGAATCTCAATAATCTTGTTACTAAATTTATAAAAGACCAAAGATTAGTATATCAAAGAAATTCAATACAACAAGATCAAAATTTTATGAATATATATATATTAGGATTATGATTTTTTAACATATTAATGGAATTATTTAAGTTTTATTTATAAATATAATTTTGGTTAAAAATAATATTTTTAAATTTT